TGTACCTAGAAAAGGTAGGAAAAACAAAAGTCAAGAAAACTTTGCAATCAAACACCATTAATTGGGTGAAGTTGGAAAATATTTTCTTTTTCCACCTAATTTTCTAGACTATCAAACACACCCTTAGCTCTTTATTAAAAATTCGAAAAATTCTCTCAAAAGATACCTATGGACCTTTCTCCACGAGAAAATGGATGCCCTCGTTTTTGCCCAAAGACGGCGTAAGGTGCCATATGTTGATTATTTGAAGCCAAACGGGATTGCACCCTTGGAAAAATCCTCTAGCAACAAAATCACATCGCTTAATGTCTGAACTCCGTCGAAAGCGAGTGTGGCGTTGATGTATGATGTTCCACGGACTTGATGTGGCCACCATCCGACACAGCAGATCCTAATCGCTCCCCCGATAACCAATTGCAACGAGTAAGGAATCATAGTCAATAGAGTAGAAGTCTCTATTTCAGACCTTAATGGTGAGGTCTAGGGTGATGTCGAGGGAGATTCTTGAGTGGGTATAAAAGTGGAGGCGATCGAGAATTTCGTTGGTCTCCATACTACGATCGTCGACGAAGTCTTTTGGATTGATCTAGGGTTTTCTTTTGTTGTCGCGAGAAAATTAACAGTGAACGATGAGTAAGGGCAAGATGGAAACAAAAAAAAAAAGGTTCACTTGTTGACGTGGATCCAATATGAATAATGACTTATGTTAGCCTCTTTTATACTGCAGTGATTTTATAGAATCAATTGAACTTAAAATATTTGTCAAGTCTCAATTTCCTTCCCTGAACGACGTCGTATCATTGACTCCCACAGTCCCCAGCCAAAACCCTTCCCACTGCACTGCACAGCCGAAGCTTCACTCAAATCACTCTCTGCACTCAAAAAGTTTCCAAAATCTGAAGAGATGAATCTGCTGAGCCGAGCTTCAATGAAATCTATCCGTCTGATTCAAATGGCGCATCAAAATCAAGGCCTGGCATCAATCATTCGGGGCCCGTCTCGGCTTTTCTCTACCGAAGCTGACGAGGCAAGCGAGGGCCAGAATCAGGATCCATCTAGTCCATTTCTTCAAACCCCAACTTCGGGTATCTCCGACTCCATTCTCCCTCTCTCTAAAATTTGTTGGTGTTTTACTCTTTCTTCAGGTTTCAGGTTTTTTTTTTCTTTTGTTGATTTATCATTTATCTCGTACTGTATGCACATGTATTAATATTTTGTTTACAATAGGTATTATTATGCCTATGGTTTTAAAATAATTTTAATCTTTTCTTTTATGCCATTTGATTATTAATGTCCTATACCTTCCTTGCCAAATTGCTGGCTGGTTAGTTTTATCCATGTCTCAGTTTATTACTGAGAAGTGAGTACTGTAACTACAACGCTGACGCCACTTGCTGAAGAATGCTAAGAAAGGGAAGAAAATAATATAAAAATTATTTGAAAATTTGTCTGCTCTGAGTCGAGGGAACAATTTCATACATTGAGTGCATCTTTCCTGCACAATACTAGATAAATCTAGTACTGGACAATGTAATGAACTACTTTTCCAATCTTCCCTACCAAACACGTGATGAATTTTTTACGCTAAGGTTGGCTTCTTGAAGTAGTCTCGATTAACATGGCTTTCGCCTGAACAAATGGACAACTTATTCAGTTGAGGAACATTGTGGTTAATAATGTTCCAGCAAACAATAGCAATACACCCTGATTTTGTATAATATACGCATTAAGTGTCTAAACTGGAGTTAAACGATTTTAAGTCATCAGAAGTGGAATAGGGGATTATTTCATGTAAAGTCTGATCATCACGCTCTTAAAAGAAATAAATGGATCCATTAAACATATATGCGTGGAAGCAAATGCGGCAGCCGATTGGTTAGAAAACCGAGGGCGTCCCAAATCTGCAAAGTGTTGTAACACACTTAACTAAAGGGATTTATTAAAGGGATAATGTGAACAGATAGATTGTGGATGCCCTATATAAGGTTGGCAAAGAGTAAAAAACACCGCCCTTGTATTCTTAGGACGACACAAGCTGTGGGAAAAATGGGGAATTGAGCTTATGATAAAGAATTAGTGTGGCTGCCAGTAAATTCAGTGTCAAAAGACAATTGCTTCTCTCAATCGGCACCCAAAATTTCCTGCAACATTTGAAGATTTTCATATAGACTCGGAGAGGTCAGTTACGTTTCTTTGAAAGTGCATTAGCAATCTTAACCCCTATTTGGTGGCCTTTTTTCTGGAAAACATTGTTTTAAATAGCGATTTCTTGGAGATTATGTGGTTAAAAAGTAAGAAAAAAATTTGAGTTTAAATGTATAATATTTTATTATGTGAATGTGTGGTTGAGAATGAATATGTAGAAAAAAGAGTTTTGAAAGAATGAGGGACAAATAGAGGTTTAGGTTGTTGCAAACTTGTTGAAATTGCAATCTCAAGGCAATTTCTGCCAAGAGTATATTCTGAAGCTTCAGATGTTATTAATGATCATTTGAGCCATTGAAGATTTATCGGGGGTAACAAGGAAGAGTGGGAAAAAGGCTCAATGATGTACAATTAGAAAAATAGTATATATTAATAAATTGGAATTGAATTTTCTAGTCCTAGTGTTACGTTGAGCTGTTATAATTAGGTTGGAGCTACTTTATTGACTTGAGACAGCTATGGAGTTTTTGTGCCGAAAATTTACACATAAGGCATCACAAGGAGCTGGAAAAGCTGAGCCCAAATAGAGACAAGTTGATGGAGAACCCTTGGTGGTAGGGGCGTCCAAAAGTCCCGAACCGGACCGAACCCGAACCAGAATCGAAACGAGCGGTTCTTCATAAATTAAATACCCGAACGGGTACCCGAATCGAGAACCGATGGGTTTGGGTCGGGTCTCGAGTCTAGACCAAAAATCGAAGAATCGAATAAGAACCGAAACTAAATAATTTTTTTATTTTTTATATTGAATTAATTAAATTATTTTATTTTTTTAAACAAATTAGCAAATTAATTAAATAAATCAGATTATTTCATAATTCTAATTTTAACGCCTAAATCATTTTTAAAGCTTATTAGCCCATTTTAATTTGAAGCGAATGAATATACTTTATGTAGTGTTACTCTAATGTTAATATCTACTTTTTGGTATTTGTATGCATTGAATTAATCTTATTGGACGGCTAGTTATTTATATGTTTTTGAATTGGGCTACGTTAATTTGTAAAAGTTACGAATGAAATGTCATTAGTTGTATTTATGTAGTGTTGCTGTAAATATTAAAAAATATAATTATGGAACGGAACCGAACTCGAACCGTTCCATAATTATATTTGGACTCGATGATTCCATTTATTAAATACCCGAAAGTTTTGGGTTGATTCGGGTCTCTTCAGAATCGAACCGAACCGACCTACGGACAGCCCTACTTGGTGGCGATGGACAAAATAGGTGGAGGCTATAGTGATGATTCCAGGACTCGTTTGCTATGATGCTCGGACTTGAGTGCAAGTGCCGGATACGGTAGATATCTAGGAGTTGGATCCTTCTCATTTAAAAAATCAAGATATGTTGATACGGTTAAAAATGATCCGAATTTGGGATACGAGTACAGAGATACATCTTACAAAATATATTTTTAAACAATTGGATTATAATTTGAAGTCAAAATAAATTCTTATAAAAAAAATTAAAGAAAAAAATCAATTTCAATGTCTTATATATTATTTAAAAAAAAATTATAGAAATAAATTTAAATTTAACACACAAAAAAAAAAAAAAAATAGCATTAAATCATTTTAATTACAAATAAAAAGTTCAGTTATATAAAATATAAGAAATAAGAAATATAATACAAACATATACTCAAAATAAAAAGTTAGTTCATCTTTTAGTTGCTGTTTCTACTTATTAAAAAAAAGTTCCGAACAAAATTCCACAAAAAAAGACCGCTCTCCAATTGTTGCGCTTTCTGTTGCTGTTCAATACCCATATACATTACAACTATAACATACCCAGTTAACTACAAGCCCAAGATCAACACAAAATACCTAATTTTCCTTAAGCCCACTTATCCAGAAGCCCCAAAATTTCATTCCCATAATAACCTAGAATCTCTACATTCAATTCTCTAACGCTGAGCTAACTACAAGCCTACTAACCAACAAACCTAATAGCCTCGTCTTCACCAACTCCCCTCTATATTATTTCTTTCTACAAAACCCTAGATGCAAAGCCAAAAAGTAGCCATCTTCTCCATTTTGTTGCCGTGTACAAGTGTAAAACCAAAGATCCGATCCATATCCCATGTTAGTATCCGTGTCATGTTGTGTCGACATAGGTACTTCTCCATTTTTGGAGAGACTAGGCATCATAGCTTGCCCGACCTTCTGAAAAATGAAAAAACTAGGTAGGTTGTGGGACAATCACTAATGCCTCTTGTACATAGGTTGGTTGACAGAAACTATATAGAATTTTAAAATTGAGTACATGTGGTGTTGACTATTTGGGTGAAGAAAAACGCAGCAACAATAAGTGAAATTGGTCCCAAATTACACGCTACATTTTTTCTCTCACCACACACCTCAGTTCACCCCACCGAATTCAATCTTCTTGGATCTTCAGTCGCGAAATCGAAATCGGTTAAGGCAAAATCCCAAATTGGAACCCTCACTCCCCGACTGCAAAACGGTGATGCCCAACTCCGACGATGGTGTTTGTAGCATATTCTCAAGAAGTTGCCGGAAAAGTTTGGATATCACGTTGATAAGGTTTCTATTTTTTTGACTATACATGGATTAGTGTATAATTCGCAGTTCATTTACGAATTTGAAGAGGTTGGAGAGCGATGATCGACTTACATACTAATGAATGGTTGTCTGGACTGTTCGAAGCTTTAATTGAGTTATTGTTTGATGTAGGGCAACGTAAAAAGTCATGCCTTCCGGCAACACTTGCCGGCTTCGAATGTGGTCCCTCCGTCGTCAACAAACCCCAAAGGAAGTTCAAGAGCAGGTCATGATCGATAATCACTTGGTAAAACAAAATGTCGGCTTAATATACAAACCAAACAACATAACTAGAATAAGTGCATGAACGAATATAACTACTAATCATGCCGCTCCTTTTCTTTTCCATTATTTGTCGGGGCTCTTTTCCCTCGTGGAATGTCACATTCAACGAAATCTCAAGGTTTCGTTTCTCGGCAATTCGAGCTATACTTTCGAACATGCTTGGCAAATTGTTAACTTCCTCATTAGCAATAGGATTCATCACTCCATTAATGGCACTTGACTCACTGCTTGCTTCTTTTTTGACTTGTTTTTGACCAAGTCAAAAAAGAAGCAGTCTTTGCTGCAAGTTTTGAATAGTCGATCTTTGTTATTGCCCTCTTTTTCAACCTCGAAACATCTCTGGATTCCATCTACACACCATGGACAACGACGTTTTCTCTTGCATTCTCTGAATAAATGATTTGTGCTTCTACAACTGTGACAAACATCATAATTCCCGCCTCTCATCCCTACATGGGAAACAACCACATGCATCTGAGTTACTATACATAACGAACCCTAACACGACGAGCATCCTTATGCTGGTCAGAACATACAAGTTAGTATTGGCATAATTGATATTCATCCTACATCTAGTGAAAATGTTGGTTCCATCAAAGAGCATTATACAAAATATCCGGGTGATTACAATAAACCTTTTTTATGCCACGGCCAAGAAAAAAAAACCAAACTATGCTATAACAATTGGACATGAAATGAGATGGCATCATGATCAAATCACAATCATACTGTAACAGGCAAAGGCTGAAGAAAATGCAGGTTATTGCTTCTAACATGGTACCAGCAACATGCTAAGGTTGAAGAAAAAACAAGTATAGTAATGCGTCAAACCAAACTATTACTATCCATCAACCATATTTCAAAGTTGTCGAATTCAAATTCTCCCATGGCTGAACGTGTGATTGAAGGAGTTCACTCTTGCTGTCCAATGAGGGGAAAATAACCTATACTAGTAAAACAAAGAGACACCAAAATATAGACTAAACCACTTTCACAAATTCTAAACAAGCTCGTAACAGATCCCATATTTCCAATTGTTGAATGAAACATAAAGGATTTGTTAAAAAATCCAAAAATAACACCTTTGCAAAACGTGTACAGTGGATGTGAAAGAAATAACAATCCTTGGCTGCAGTCGGTAATAGGTCTAAGTCTAAAGATATTGGCCTCTTCTGATATTCAATGGATCGACGGCAGCCGGAGATGGCGACGAAGCAGCGGCGAAATCAACAGGAATTAAGGGTTTCTGCAGTGGGTAATAGTTCTAGGGTTAAAAGACATTGGCTTATTTGTTGTTCACTGGGTCGATGTCAGCCGGAGATGGTGACATAACCGGCTGTGAAATCGGCTGAAATTAAGGGATTTTGGTGAAAGTGGTCGGCGAGAAGGTGGGTGTTGTGAAAATGGACGTATGGGAATTGCTGTTGGTTTTCAAACTATCTCAATTTTTTTTAAATGTTGCTTGCCAGCTCATCTGGAAAACCTGTGTGACCCAGCTTCTGTACACGTAGCAGAATTGGTGGGACAATATGGCCTCTACTGGAATTTAACTGCTGAAAGATCAAGCAAGAGGATGGTTTAATCAGCTTGATCCAAGATTAAACAGGAGTCCATTACAGAAAGTTGAGGACAGGCCTCTTGCAGCTCAAAGAGTACATGGCAGTAGGTGTTAGTTGCAGACTATGTCACTCAAATGAGGATATGGTTGGCAGGTTGGATAAGGACACAATTGTTGCACTTCGATCAAAGCTCTTCATAAACGAAATAGTTAAAGGAAAAAAAAAAAAAGAGCCAGGATCTAAAGCAAAATAATGAAGAAACAAGAGTTGAAAAAAAAAAATTAGAATTTAGGGCTCATAGAGAAAAATTATAACTTAGGACCCTGAATCTAAAGCAAAATAATGAAGAAACAAGAGTTGAAAAAAAAAAATTAGAATTTAGGGCTCATAGAGAAAAATTATAACTTAGGACCCGTTTGATTGCAAATGTGGAAAATGGGTGGAAAGAAAATGAATTTCAGGGAATTGAATTGCCTACTGCCTAGAAATTGTTTTGCTGAGAATTGTAATTAATTGTGTTTGATTGGTATAATTTTCTACCTGAAAATGATGAAATTTTGGATCTTTTGCCTTTTGGTGTTCGTTTGACTTTGTTTTTCACAGAATTTGTCCATTAAAGGGAATTTTTTTTACAACCGTGGATAAAATTTCTCTCCATTGCCCAAAAAAAATAAAAATAAAATAAAAAGTCGGCTGGAAAACCAATTCTCACCAAATGGTTTTCCACCAACTCAAGGAAATTGCACCCCTATGAAGCAAATCAAGAAAAATAATTCCATGAAAAAGTTTTTGCATCAAACAAGGCAAAATGCAAAGTTGGAAAATGTTTTCTATTTTCCATGGAAAATCTTGGCTATCAGACAGGCCCTTTTTATTCCCGGAGTTCGTATTTTTCTTAGAGTTTTACTATTCTAAGTTTTTGAACTTGTACTCTGTTCTTTTGTTAGGTTTGGTTTATGGCAGACTAAGTGGCATCACAAAGCATACGGCAAAGAGTGATATTGTCAATTTGCTCGAGGGGTGTCACCTCGGTTTGGATGATGTCAAAGTTGAATACAGTCGAAGTTATATGCCAAGTTCAATGTGAGTTTCTCCTCATGATGCCATTGTCTTTACACATTTACAGAAGTTCGAGCTTTATACTAATTAAATATGCATAATATTTACTGCAATAGTTTTTGCTCTTTTGGCTTTTTAGCTATAATATAATTGTTCTTATTTTTCACTACAATTTTCCAATTTGGTTACGTTTTTCTTTTCTTTTCCTTTTTTCTTTCCGTTTTAAAGTAGATGGATAGTACCATCTATAAATGGTTTGCAGCTACTAAATATTGATGTTATCCTCCCTCCCCCCTTCACACTTTAGTTGCTTTACCACAAACCATTAATTGTGTACTTTTTTAACATGGTTGAAAACCCTTGATTAGTGAACACATCAAATGATATATTTTTTTCGGTTTGATGACCCTTTGCAGAGTGGTGCAATTCTCCTCTCGAACTGCTTATAATGCTGCTCTTCGGGCAATTGGCAGGCATGGTCGTTTGTTTAGATTGGAAAGGGTAAAATGGGGTGTCTATAGTAATATCTCTCCTGTTTTATATTCTTGCAAAAGTTCAGTTTGTTCACCGACTTATTTGTTGATGCTAGGCTGACCGAACGCAGTGGGATCTTATTGCTCCTTTCGATGGCAAAGCAGTGAGAAGAAATTTTGGATCTGTGATTTTTTTCTTCAGTTTTTGACGTTAAAATTTGAAACTTGATGCATGGCATAATGCTCCCGAAATTTAGCCAAGTTTTGTTAATGCTTATAAAATGTTTATAATCGGTCAAATAACTTTTTATCACACATTTCGTGAGACTCACAAGTACCACTGTTAATTTCTATCTATTTATTAACACTTTCCAAATGAGCTTTTAATGTTTTTAACATCTTCAAGATGTTGAGAAATTTCATTCGCTCTTACATTTATTACTAGTCTGTTTATTGTTCTTTTTGCAAGTGCATTCAGTGTTTTGTTGTTGATTTATAGCTATTTTTTTTTGCAGATTTTGCTACAAGGAATTCCTCGCAATGCATTACCCGATGATATTGAACGCTTCCTTACTGGTTGTCAATATGATGCATCTTCCATGCAGATATTTATGAGGTTAATGCTGAATTATTTTACTCATCAAAGGGAAAAAATAAGAAAGTGTCGAGGATTTTGTTATTAAAGTTGGCTACATAGATAGTTCATTCGATGTTCTAAGGCCCCATGATATTTGGTTAATTTTGCAGGCAAACAAACCAAGGCCCCATGAGAATGGCTGTTGTGCGCTTCCCGAACCCGGCTTTAGCCACGCACGCACAAGTTACCAAGAATAGAGGCTTTTGTCTCAACAATCAAATCTCAGTCCAAGTTCTTCGCTAGCTTTTCTTTTTCTTGAAATTAAATTCGTGTTTCTCCCCCAAAGTCCTCCTTTGCGGGATGTCTTTAGAATGTGGCAAGTATAATATTTTAAGTGGCTTCAATTCTGTGCCTCATTTGGTTCATTAAACTATGTCCTTTCTTCTGAATTAGGGGATCGAATTAGAGATGATAGTTATTCCAATAATTAAATAAGTCGAACATCTACCTTTCATTGCATTATTTATCGTTTAGGAAAGCTGTTTTTAGAGATGTTAATGGATCGAGCCGAGCTGGCTCAGCCCTAGCTTGTGGAGCTGTTTTCTTCTTGTAGATTTGATATAAGAAATTAATACTATGTTTGAACCCCATTTTTGGTAAAATGAGTTTTGTAATGGTGATTTTTGAAAAATGTGATTAAAAATGAAAATGAATTTGAGAAAAAGCAACTTTTTATTCTTTTTAAATGAGACTCAAACAGAGGCTAAGGGCGATGTAGCCTACTTTGTCGTGCAAAATTCTGGTTGCGTCTCCAAGCTATTCAAAATAGACCAAGTATGTCCTCAACTTCGAAATCGTAGTAGTTAGGTTGCAAAACCTTTCAGTTTTGTAGCAAGGGTCTCACGATGGCTTACCGTCTTCCATTTGGATGTTAATGTCATGTAACAATCACGAGCTCGATTCTCAAAGAGCACAGTATGAAATTGTGCCTCCACAGCTTCTTCCTCAAAATCAAGCATTTTGTAATAGATGCCAGAGCAGAAAGGTGGAAAGTCCCGTAGGCCATGGATCTCAACTGCATGGTACAACTATGAAGAATTGTAAATGTACGTTTTTAAGGGCCTTTAGGAAGAGATGGCGTTTCCCTTGTGTATCAATATTTATATGCACAAGCCATCTTCGCCCTGTTAAAGCGGTGTAGCAGACATGAAAAGGAGAATTGCAGTGCTCAGAGGATAAGGTGTTTCTACATATGATATGTCATAGACTCCAGCAATTTTCTAGTTCATATCAATGCCTTCTATCAAGTTCAAAAATATAGCCAATTTCATTTTACCATACTGATCCATAGCTTTATGAGCAGTAGAGGAATATTGACTTGATAAAGAAAAATAAATAAAAGTGTACTAATACTGGAAATAGTTCCTAGAGCTGCAGTACTGGTACATTCCTTTTCTTTTTTTCTCAAAAGCTCCAGAATTCAAGATATCTCCAACGAAGTAAAGTGTCCATATAACGGGTTTGGGGGAGAGCAATAAGTAAATAAATACCGACATTTGTGTACAAGCTCAGTCACATTCAAAGCAGACATCATAATTTTACAATTATACCAAGAAAACATTCAAAAACCATGATCGCCTTTACAAAATTGGCAAACATTACTGCATGGTTTCCCCTACAAGGCTTGCCAAAAATGAAAATTGTACGTTCAACCACCCTAGGATATTCACCCAGTGAGACCAATAAGTAAATGACGAACACCAGCTGAGCATGGATGTTTTAAAATGACCAACCATACCAAAAACTCTGAAATAATAGACAAAATATTTAACTCCTAAAGCATAATAAGAAAATAAACCATCATAATGGAATTTCACATAAGAAACATAAAACTTACCCTACCTGTCCTGTCTAACGCCAGTAAATAAAATTATGGCCAAAATATAGAAATGCATTGATGATTCTCCAAAAAACCCTTTTCAATGACTAGCATGAGGGTCCAAAATACAAGAATGTAAAATGCATTACCCATTGAGTTTAGAAGCTTAACATGTAGGTTCAATCATGAACATCTAAAGGTAGCACACACTAATATCTAAAAATACGTCCAATGATCATAGTTTTACACACTTTCTCAGCAGCAGATCTTTAATAAGATAATGATCGACTCAAACACATTGTAACTTGCAAATGACATGCAAAATGAGACTGCATAACAACTATTTTTTATGATAAAGCCATAACAGAACAAATAGTAGAAATGTTACTCTAATCAAGTTGTCATATGCAACTAAGCTAGCAACAAACTGTAAAAGAACAAGGCAAGTATATGATTTTCTTCTCAGGCAATAATTTTGAGTTTTTGATATGGTCAGTAGGTCATTTCAGTTATAAAAGCTCCAAAAAGGTGGCTGTTCACTATCCCAGGTCTCACCGGTAAACCGTAATTAACTAAGTTCAAAATGAAAGACAACAACAATCCTACTGAATGTCAAGTGAAGGCCATGTAAAGATGTTAGCACCCCCACCTTCCAACCTGGAAAAAGGAGAGAGAAAGGGAATAAATAAGAACAATCAGAGATCGATGTAAAGGAGAATATGGCAGTTAACTAAAGTGTAAGTGCATGGCAATTTTAGCAGTTTAGAAGTATCAAATATCTGGAAATCTATCGTACTGTTTTAGTAGAGGCATCAAGTCAATTAGGTCCCTCCATCAGCCTTGCCTGCAATAGCTGTTTTCTGAAGTTTGCAAAAATAAATCAATAAAGAAAAAGAATGAATAGAAAAATATTATTATCATGAGCCTAAAATAATGGATTTACAATAACTTACGAATTTTGTGTTTCCATTATCATTTGCCACTGACAGGGGACCAGAATGTGGTTGTGTGAACCTGCAAAATAATGTTGACTAACTGAATTGGATACTAAAACTGCCTCAGACTTTCTTTTGGTTATATGGAAATATGTATCATTTTGCAATCAGATTCCCCCAAGAAGATATAAGGATGAAAGAAAGATGTAGCATTGTTAAAAACCTGATTGCTCTTGCTTTCTTCTTATCGTCCTCAGCTGAATCGACCTTGGCAACCGATCCGAACCTTGCAAGCCTAGCCTTCTTCCTTGCTTCCTCGTCAGCAGGTGCAGACTGGACAATCCCAAATCTGAGAAGACAGCCAAAGTGTCAAACAAAGAAATTAAGTGAAAATTGCAAGTTGTGAAACACAAAAATGGGCAAGGCTAAAAAAACCTCTCCGCTCTAGCCTTCCTCTTCAGCTCCTCTGGTTGTTTTGATGATTTTGATCCATGTGTGGTGGACCCAATTCCAAACCTGCAATAAAACCAGTGCAACTGAATAGGAACTCGATAAACAAAACACTGTAGTCCCCACTGCCATACTAAAGTAAACAGCAGAAATTATAATAAATGCAGAATGAATACAGAAACATGTCAAGTAGAAGGAAGCTTGAAATAAGAAAATAACAGAGATGGTCACCATCAATCAAGCTATCATAGCTTTGGAATTTGAAACAAACAAAGCCATACTTGGTTTCATGCTAAAGTCGTACGAGATTAGTGCTCGATGGTCACATAGAATACATAGTACAGTGATCTATTTGTTTGGTTTGAGGGGATGGGATTTTGGAATAGAAGGAAAATTAGGAAGAAATGGAGGGGAACCAATATATTACACAAAGACGAAAGAATGTGTTGTACAACTCAAGCATCTCTTCCCTTAGACATATGTGTTAAGGGTAGAATTTTGTTCACATCTTAGATCTAAGAATTGACTCATCTTAAAAGCAATTTTTGTTATTCTTCTAGGCGAATATTTAGATTTATTGCTGGAACGTGATTGGTATCTAAGAGCACTTCTGTCTTTAGGCCTTTTATTTGTTAGTCCTGATAAAGCCCCCCAGCGGGCATATTTTTGTGAAACGAGGTTCCCTCTCAATCCAACACACACACACCCCCCATTTAATCAATCATAAAGTTGAAAATTCTCCATTCCATTCTTGTCTATTCTCCCTCTACTATTCTCAAAGAGAGCTCAGTTGTTATGGGCACATGTAAACATACATAAATAAGGCTGCAAAACATCATCCGTTTTCAGAATGGATAATAGTTGAGACCCACCAAAAAGTAGTAACACCATGAATCAACCAAAACAACCAACCACTCATCACAGCTCAAAAACTGATATTTTTCCAATTCTTACGTTTTCATCAAAACTGAAAGAAACGGAGAAGAGATAATAGTTGAGACCACTGAAGAAGTAATAACACCGAAAAATCAACCAAAACAAGTTAAACAACCAACCAACCACGCATCACAGCTCGAAAATAGATATTTCTCCCTTACGCTTTAAAACTGAAAGAAAGGAAGACTGAACATGGTATAAAAATTCCCCCATACACGCTTAAACTCTTGTCTCATTACAAAAGCATATAAATCAAACTCAACGGACCAATATTAGGATCTTCTCCGGATTTATTTTCAATGAAACATGCACCACTTGTGCACAATATACCAAAAAACTAGTAAAGTAGAACAAAAAAAAAAGATAGTTAAGTAGTATTATATATATGAAACCATCGCTAAAACCCTAACAATCACTCCTGAAATTAACTGCACGATATGACTCTGTAAACAGTAAAAAGTAAGGAAAAAATACCTCTCGGCTCGAGAATTGCGTTTCTCTTGCTCAGAAAGCTGGACGGGCATTCCGAAGCGCTCAGCTCGCTTCATCTTCTTCTGAATATCAGTTACAGCTCCTTCAGTGCTGCAGTCTGTATTATTCGTCGGTTTATCACCTCCGCCGCCATGAGTTGGTGACGCGGTGGTGGTGGCGGAAGAGTGGGGATCTTCAGTTGTGCTAGGCGTTGAATTGGGAGCAGCGGTTTGAGTTGTGTCGTTTTTCGGGTTTTCGACTTTTGGAACGGTGGCCGTTGCCATTGTTTTTAGGACCTTTCGCCACGGCGGGGAGCGGGGCAGAGTCTATCGGAGAGTGGGAGGGGATGCTTAAAGTTTACGCAGCCGGAAAGCGAGTATGGATTTTGAGGCGCTATGTTGCAACTTGAAAATGTTCTAAATAATTGAATTATATTTTGTTAACTTTTCTTTTTAACTTCTTTTTCATTTAAACATTTTCTATCAATATACTATTCCAAAACACATTTTTCCAAAATAACGTAGCTCAAACACTTGATTGATATTTTCACATTTCATTACGCAATAAGTCATTCATTTTTTCAATTAAAATCTATAAAATGACAAATATAATCTTTTGTTTAAAAAAATAAATAAAAAATAATTCCAATCATAATTACAATTTTTTTTTTAAAAAAAAAGTGCAAATGAGTCTCAAATAAATTATTAAAAAGATAATTAGTACATCCCTATCTTTTCCTATTACTGTGAAAAACGTCCATATATATTTTTTTTTTGACATTTTCACACTTATTTACACATTTGATTGGGCCAACTATCGTTTTTATCCATTTTCTAAATAAAAAGCCGTGAAATAACTAATATATCATCATATTTAAATAAAAAAAATAAAGAACTAATTGCAATTATAATCCCAAAATTTTTTGAAAAGTAAAAATGAGACCCAAATAAATTATTTAAAAAAATAAGAAATTATTTAAAAAAATGCAAATGAATCTCAAATAAATTATGAAAAATTTGAAATTAAAAAATGCAAACGAGTCCTAAATAAATTATTAAAAATTAAAAAAATCTTTATTTTTCTTTGTCCTTTTATTTAAATAGGAGAATATTCATTATTTCATTGTTTTTTATTATGAAATTGGATGAAAATATATAGAAATGATCATTTGAGCAATCAAATATGTAACCAAATGTTAAAACACAAAAATAAAATAAAATAAAGGGTATAGATATTTTTCACAATAATAATGAAAATGTATGAACATTATGGGTCAATGATCATTTTAATAATTTATTAGAGATTCGTTTGCACTTTTTAAAAAAATTTGAGACTATAATTGCAATTAATTCTTTCTTTTCCTTTTTGTTTTATTTACTAGTGCACGCACGTGCGATGCACGTGCTACAGTTTAATTGGGTATTTATTAGCATTGAGTGATTTTAAGGTATTAAAAAATGCAGTCAAATGGAGCTAAGCAAGTTACAAAGAGTAAAAACTTGCCTCTTCTTTGAAGTTGAAGTCGTAAGTCTTGTCTGATCAAAGAAAACCAAATTCTAAAAGTTAGACATCACAGATGCGAGATAAACTCTTTGACCCTGAGCTTATAGACATAATAGAAAAGTGCAATTTGGGAACGTCAGACATTCTAAGTTCCATCAAGTTGTTGAACCATAAAGTTATCTATACCAATCTGATCCGTTGGGTCTTGTTTAAGCAACTACACTTCATCTTTCATTTGGGAAAATTGATGGAATAATATTTATTGAAGAAAACAATTTTTCGTTTGTTATATAACATAGGCCTAAAATGTCAAGAAAACAAGATTTAAGGCAATAAGAACCATGCTAAAGCTCAGGAAAACAAACCTTTCCAATGAATATTATTTTCATTAAAAGAAGTCTTGGAAGCAAGAAATACATTCAAGCCATTCAATAATAATGAACAGAAGTGCTCAAATTTCCTCATTTAAAAAAAAAAGGATTCAGCAAATGAATTGAAGGAAGAAATTAATGAGAAATTACATCTTCTATATAAGGTATATACTACTTGTTTTGTAGGAGAATTTAATAATCCAAATACTTTGATCTGAAGTTGTTTAAGACATAAATCTGAAACAATGTGAAGGTAAGCTCCAACTGTGGAGCTTATGCTACCCATGCATCCAAGGGTTGTCAATAATCCACCAACGTTCCAAACAAAGTGAAGGTAAGCTCCAACTGTTGATGAAAGTGATGCACAACATAGCAACAGATAAACCTACAACCAGGCAATCTAATACATCGCTTCCCCTTTGAATTGTAAACTAAAATTTCCAGTAATCATTGTTACTAATCATAATTTTCAAATTATCAAACATCAGATATGAGAAAAGAAACATGGCCAGTGTAAAGAAGAAGAAATAAAATCAGATATTTACAAATAAACGAAATCTTCCCTTCTTTCAGAAAGCTTCATAGAATACAATTATAAAACATTCAAATAGTACGAAGAAAAAAAAAACATAAAACGAGATCCATAGAGAACTTATCTTTCGAAATGTTTATGTAAAAAACAAAATAAAGAAAAAATATACCTCCAGAGAAGTATTGAAAGAATAATTTTTCATTATTACAATCATCCTCCGTTGCATCTATTTGTTACACTATCACATCTTTGTACAAAATAGAAAATAAGAATGGATTTATCAGCCAAAACAGAAGATATTATATTTATGCAAGTACAAAAATTCATATTTAAATAAAAAAAAAAATAAAGAACTAATTGCAATTATAATCCCAAAATTTTTTGAAAAGTGAAAATGAGACCCAAATAAATTATTTAAAAAATAAGAAATTATTTAAAAAAATACAAATGAATCTCAAATAAATTATGAAAAATTTGAAATTAAAAAATGCAAACGAATCCTAAATAAATTATTAAAAATTAAAAAAAATCTTTATTTTTCTTTTTCCTTTTATTTAAATAGGAGAATATTCATTATTTCATTGTTTTTTATTATGAAATTGGATGAAAATATATAGAAATGATCATTTGAGCAATCAAATATGTAATTAAATGTGAAAACACAAAAAAATAAAAATAAAATGAAGGGTATAAATATTTTTCACAATAATAATGAAAATGTATGAACATTATGGGTCAATTATCATTTTAATAATTTATTAGAGATTCGTTTGCACTTTTTAAAAAAAAAATTGAGACTATAATTGCAATTAATTCTTTCTTTTCCTTTTTGTTTTATTTAAATAGTAGGATATATTCGTCATTTCACAACTTTTAATTGAAAAAATGGATGAAAATGATATTTTGCACAATGAAATGTGAAAATAATTGTGAAAATGCAAAAAATAAAAATGAAAAATGAAAGATAATGACGTTTTCCACAATAATAGTGAATGATAAGGACGTTATGTGCTAATTACCTTAATTGAAAAAGGAAGAATAGCTAAAAAGGTCCTAATATTTGATGTGTGTTTCACCTTGGTCCCTATTCTTCTAAATGGAGTTTTTACAACTTCACTTTCATTTTAGTACTCAGGTGGATAGTGGACAATTTTACCCTTATCTTTAGTTAATAAGTTAAATTTTTGGGTAATTGAATTCGATATAGTTTTTAATATTATTTGCACCACATTTAAATTATACATAAGGTCCTCAACTTTGGTCACTTAGCACATGTCGTCCCTAACATTTTCTTCGCCAAATTCTTATATTCAACATTTCATTAATTAATATATTTCATTTTTTTCATAATAATTTATGTCAAAATATTCCTTTTACGTGTTCTAAAATAAGAAAAAAATAATTAGTCGCACCTTATATTTGTTATTTTATAAAAATATGTTGGACAAATAAGCTATTTTATTCACTCCCAAAAGAATTTTTTAACGAAACTTTATTGGAGACGAGATCAACTAATTAATGAAATATTGATTACAAGAAATGTCAAAAAAGTTGATGATTTGTGTTACTATTAACATGGATTAAATACCTTAAGTTCGATAAAAATGTGGTGCAAATAAAATGCGTGGTGTAAATATAATTATTCATATTATTAAATTAATAGTTTTAGCCTTATCTTATAAAAAATTAGACAAAAAAGAAGAATTATAAAAAGAAAAGCAAGAAAAAAAAAGTTCTTGTCTTCTCCAAGTCTATTTCAAATTGATTGTGTGATTGGTAATCGTCGTAGTTGTTTGATTTGGACAGGAGATAGGCCGAGTTGGTCCAAAATGGAGAAGATGAAGACTTTCTCCTTTTATTTTTATCATTCTAGTTTTTCGTTCAAATTGTTGTTTATTGAAAAAAGAACGTAATTCTATTTTTTCAACCAAAAAAAAAAAGGCTCATAATTTAAAGATAGTAGTAAAATTGTCCAATGGGGACCTAAATTACTACAACGAAAGATTGGAGATACAAATGTTACATTTTGAAGATTGCGAACTGAGATGGTCAAAGTTTGGGGATCTTTGTTGCTATTTTTCATGGAAAATCGACCCTACTTACTATGAAGAAGTACTTGTTAAATAACTCTATGGCATAAATTAAATATCTGAGATTGATACTATTATTTTTAACTTGTGTAAGTATTACCCGTTGGTCACATTATCTCCATAATGTATGGCTGGATGAACTTCTTGAGTTTATTGTAAATACTATTGCAGTTGATGCTATTGAATAAAAACCTTATTTTCATTTAAAAAAATAATTATAGAGATCGACATCAATCATGTGATGTTCAACTTGTGCTCATACATTGAATTATTGTCTTTTACTTTTAAAAAGTAAAAAAAAAAAAAAAGGAGAACCGCCCATTTGGATTAGACATGTCACCTGTTGATTTGTTACAAAAAATATAAAAAATGAAAAGATGGCATTGCAAAACTCGACGATGATTGGATTCTTATTACGGCTTACACCTTTTATATGTGTCCAAATAGGGGTTAGTTTGCAACATATGAAACTGTTACAAAGGGTTCCGTGGTAATGGAAAATAATTCACTTTGTAAGATAGCTGGTATTGGTAAGGTCGGAATCAAGATGTTCGTTGTGACGGGTAAGATACTTGGTGATGTGAGATATGTTCCAAACTTGAAGTGAAATGTTATCTCCTTGAATACTTTTTATTCAAAGAGGTGTAGATATATCGGGTGGAGGTGGAGTTCTGAAAGTTAGGAAGGGTGCCAAAATTGTGATAAAGGGGCAAAGAAAGTCCTGATTATATGTCTTGCAGGGTTCTACGATTACGGTTGATAAGGTTGTCACGAAAGGATATTTAGACCTTAGGAGAGGTTGCTTATGGTTTGATAAGCGTTGGCTCAGATGGAGCTGGTAGTGACCGGGTTTCTCGTGGCGATAATTCAAGTAGGTTTGATAACTTAGATGGTGTTGGTAGTGAACGGGATGACTAAAACCGGTTTGGGGCCAGAGGTAGTTCAGCAGGGCTTGGATTTTGTTCACTGTAGCTGAGTATGTGGAAGGAGTAGAGTTTGTGTTTGGAACACTTTATTTGGAGAATTGCTTAAAAATAATTCCTTACATTGAAATTTGTGTCAAGGTGGATATTGTTGGAGTATGATCCAAATTTTTATTTGCATTAGTATTTGGTAGGCATAAACAATTTTGATTTGAAAGTTCAGTTTGAAAAGGGATCAAATTTCATCAAGGACTGGGAGTTTGATTCGAAGGACTTTAAAACGGATGAAAAACAGCTTTGGAGTTTTTGGACTAGGGAGATGGCACCGAGGTGCCCAAAGCTAAAGATTGGACTAGGGAGTCGATGCTGGCTATGGCACCCAAGTGCCGCGCCACATGTTTGGGTAGAATCCAATTTCTACCGTGATGCTTGTATGCTAATTCATTCAAAACACCAAAATTGGGCTCCTATATATACTCCACATGGTTTAAGCTCTTAAAAGGCTTACGCAATATAGCAAAACATTGTATAGCATTGAAATAATATCAAAGTGAGAGGATCTAGTTTATAAAGAGATACTAGCATATTTTGAGATAGTTTGAGAGTTTTGTGAGATCTTTTTTTACTTCTTTATTATTAATTATAGTGAATTCCTTGTCTCTGTTCGTGAGTTTTTTAGATTTGGATTTCCACGTTAAATCTTTTGTTCTTGTGTGATTCTTTTCATGATTTCATCTTGACATATTTTCTTTGACTTTAATATTCAGAACAAGTGGTATATGTTTTATCACCGAATTATTGTAAATTGACTTGTTTTCTAATAGTTACGTCAAAACCAAAGAGCTTCAAGCCTCCATTAGTTGTGTTTACTTTGATCAGCGGACTCAAGATCAAGAACTTTTCTCTCATTTGCCCTCAATTTCCTAGGGGACGATTGGATTTGTGTGAGAAGTGATTGGTACTGGTGGTAGTGGTGGAGGGGGTTGCGTAGGGGTTGGTGAGGTTGATTGGAGAATAAAGTAAGAATTAAACTACTTGTACAATGAATTTGCACAATAATTTTGACAATGTGTGAGGTGTATTGATCATTGTCATTGAATTAAAAAACAATCTTTCACATAATGCCTGCCAACTCACATATTGTCAAACTTATTATCAAATTCGTTGTACAAGTAGCATAGTTCATCTTGCACCCAAGTGCCGCGCCACATGTTCGGGTAGAATCCAATTTCTACCGTGATGCTTGTATGCTAATTCATTCAAAACACCAAAATTAGGTTCCTATATATACTCCACATAGTTTAAGCTCTTAAAAGGCTTACGCAATATAGCAAAACATTGTACAGTATTGAAATAATATCAAAGTGAGAGGATTTAGTTTATAAAGAGATACTAGCATATTTTGAGATAGTTTGAGAGTTTTGTGAGATCTTTTTTTACTTCTTTATTATTAATTATAGTGAATTCCTTGTCTCTGTTCGTGAGTTTTTCAGATTTGGATTTCCACGTTAAATCTTTTGTTCTTGTGTGATTCTTTTCATGATTTCATCTTGTCATATTTTCTTTGACTTTAATATTCATAACAAGTGGTATAAGTTTTATCACCGAATTATTGCAAATTGACTTGTTTTCTAATAGTTACGGCAAAACCAAAGAGCTTCAAGCCTCCATTAGTTGTGGTTACTTTGATTAGCGGACTCAAGATCAAGAACTTTTCTCTCATTTGCCCTCAATTTCCCAGTGGACGATTGGATTTGTGTGAGAAGTGATTGGTACTGGTGGTAGTGGTGGAGGGGGTTGCGTAGAGGTTGGTGAGGTTGATTGGAGAATAAAGTTTCATTAGTTATTACAAATTTTTTGTAGTCATTAAAAGTAATTAATTAATCACTCCACGCAGCATGGAGCGTTTAAAAAATTTGATTAATAATGCTGTTTGACATTAAAAGTTATCATTAAAAGAATTATATAATAATAAACATGACATGCAACAATAATTATTAAATAATTTTTTAAAGTTATTTTTCGGTCGTAATTTCAAGCATATTCCAATTCATAATCAAAATGGGCCTACATCGGTTCAATTAATTAACAAGCTTTTAATTAATCAAGAAGATCCTCGATCCATGCATAGTCCTTTTTACTATAATACATTCCCCAAAGCCCCATGAATTAATTGATGAATGAGTATAGTAACTAGGGGCAATGTGGGTGTGACTTTTATTAAAATTGTAGAGATTTTCCCGAAGAATCGTATAATAATAAACATGATATGCAACAATAGTAATTAAATAATTTTAAAGTTATTTTTTGCTCGTAATTTCAAGCATTTTATGGATTCTACTGAGATGTTCTGATTCATAATCAAAAGAGTAATGTTATTTATCTCATTGGGGTTACAAACACAGTCTAGATCACATATCATTTAATGCGACATTAACGTCATCTAAACTGTGTTTGTAACCTCAGTGAGAATGAATAGCATTACTCTAATCAAAATGGGTGTACATCAATTCAATTAATTAAGAAGCTTATAATCCAAGATTTTAATTAATCAAGAAGATCCTCACTCCAAGCACAATAATATACATTCCCCCAAGCCCCATGAATTAAATTGATGAATGAGTATAGTGAAAAAGGGCAATGTGGGTGTGACTTTTATTAAAGTTGTAGAGATTTTCCAAAATAATAGTATAATAATGAACATGATACGCAACAATAATAATTAAATAATTTTAAAGTTATTGTTCGGTCGTAAATTCAAGCATTTTATTGATTCTATTGAGATATTCCGATTTCAAGCATTTTATTGGGCCTACATCAGTTCAATTGAGCGCCTGTTTGACACACATTCTCTCAAAATACATTTCTCATTTTCAACTACACATTTTTCAATAAAATAATATTTTTCATCCATCAATAACTTTTTCATACTTTTTAACCACATATTTCTCATCAGGTCACTATTTAAAATACATCATTTCATCAATAATATCTATCAAACACCCCTGATTAAGAAGCTTTTAATTAATCAAGAAGAACCTCAATGCATGCATAGTCCTATTTACTATAATACATTCCCCAAAGCCCCATGACTTCCCATTGATGAATGAGTATATAGTTAAAATGGGCAATGTGGGTGTGACTTTTATTTAAAGTTGTAGAGATTTTCCGGAAGAATCATATAATAATAAAAATGACATTTCACTAGTTATAATTTTAAATTAGTATTTAGCATTTGATTCTATTCATATATATATATATATATATGTATGTATATATATATATATTCAGATTTCAGGATCAAAATCTGCCCAAATCAATTGAATTAATTAAGATGCTTTAACACGCATTCAATTCATTAGGAAGCTTATAATACACGCTTTTAATTAATTAAGAACCTCATAATGCATGCTTTTAGTTAATTAAGAAAGATGCTCCTCAATATGTGCATAATCCTCTTACTATAAAAAGATTACCAAAGCCCCATGCTAAGTACTCATTCACAGACAAAAAAAAAATCACAAAACACAGAAAATGTCTCGCCCTCATGTACTTCTAGTGAGTTTTCCTGCACAAGGGCACATCAATCCATTACTTACATTTGCCAAAACCCTCGTCAGGAATGGCATTGAAGTCACCTTTTCAACAAGTTTATATGCCCAGCGGCGGATGGCCAAAGCTACCGATGACATCACCAACGGTATTACTTTTGAGGCCTTCTCTGATGGATATGATGATGGGTGCAAATCCAGCGATGATCACAATCAATACATGGCAGAGATAAGAAATCGCAGTTCCAACACCATAAGGGAAACGATTCTTGCTAGTGCCGAGCAAGGCCGCCCAGTTACGTGCCTTGTTTACAGTCTTCTGCTTCCATGGGCTGCAGCAGTGGCACGTGAAATGAACATTCCGAGTGCTCTTATATGGATTCAACCAACCATTGTGTTGGATATATATTACTATTATTTCAATGGATATGGTGAAGATATCAATAATTCCTCCGACGATCCCTCCTGGGCTATCCAGCTGCCTAGACTTCCATTGCTAGCTAAACGTGATCTTCCCTCATTCTTGCATCCTCCAAGTAGCGATCACAAAGTCTTTGCACGTTCAACATGTAAAGAGCATCTTGAAACATTAGATGCAGAAGCAAAGCCAAAAGTTCTTGTGAATACGTTTGATGCACTAGAGCCTGATGCACTTAAGGCGGTTGAAGATTATGAGTTAATTGGGATTGGACCCTTAATTCCTTCTGCTTTCTTGGATGGTAAAGATCCATCGGATAAGGTCATTGGTGGCGATCTTTTTCATAAATCGGAGGATTATGTGCATTGGTTGAACTCCAAGCCTGAATCTTCTGTGGTTTATGTGTCATTTGGGAGTCTTCTGAGGCTGCCAAAAGATCAAATGGAGGAGATAGCTAAAGGATTACTCGAGTGTAGTCGACCTTTTTTGTGGGTGATACGAGTAATGGAAAACCAAGAAGAAGAAAAAGACGATGATAAACTAAGTTGTTTGGAAGAATTGGAAAAACTGGGAAAAATAGTACCATGGTGTTCCCAACTTGAGGTGTTAACACACCCTTCATTGGGTTGTTTCGTGAGTCACTGTGGATGGAATTCGACATTGGAGTGTATAGCATGTGGTGTTCCCGTGGTGGCATTTCCACAGTGGGCTGATCAAGGGACTAATGCAAAGTTGATACAAGATGTGTGGAGGACAGGCCTAAGGGTGAACCCAAGAGAAGATGGCATCGTTGAGAGCGACGAGATCAAGAAATGCATTGAAACAATAATGGATGATGGAGAGAAAAGTCGAGAATTGAGAGAGAATGCTAGGAAATGGAAGAATTATGCTAGAGAAGCTATGCAGGAGGACGGTTCTTCCACCAAGAACTTGATGGCCTTTGTTAAGGAGCTTGGGGATTATTGATAATTCTTAATTTATCTTCTGTGTGAGAGTCTAAGCAAGCATGTTTCTAGTCCTACAATGTTTGTAATGCCATTTAGTATAAAGTAAAAATTTTATTGTTTGAATGTCTTTTGTTTTGTTTATTCTCACGATAGCTCAAAAAACACGTCTTTTTTGTCTTCGTAAAGGGATTACTTGTTATAATGAGCCTTTTCTTTGCAATGCTTTATTTAAGCAATCATGCTTGGTGTATATCATAGTGTACAATTCGCCACGTGTCAACTACCATTTGACAGTTTAAAAAAAAAAAAAGATATTTGCTATTAATTACATTTTGCCAGCAAAGATGATGTACACTATGATGTACGAAGTTGCACGTTAGATTCAATTATTAGGAAGAATATAATATAAGAAGTGACAACTTTGATGAAATGGTTGTGGGTAGGTTGAAATGTTGCATTAGGTTGCCAGGGCAGGTTATGGGGGCTATCGATAATGTTATTGTATTCGTTTCATTATATTATTTTAATGTTTATATATATTTTTTACTTAAATAGTAAACAACTTTCTAGAGGCCCCCAAGTATTCTATTACTTTCAGAGTTCCTTTTCTGTTCTTTTCTTTCTCCGAACCGATGACTTGCTCGTTCAGTGCTACTAACTATTTATTATAGAAGGATGCTGTCCCCTTGGGATATCGAAAAGGAGCACTTGATCCCACGAAGCAACGGGTTTCAGCGCTGGCTTTGTGGTGGATTTAATTGGAATTGGATCCTACTAAGAAGTGAGGTAAGTTTCATTCTTTCAAGTTTTTGTCAACTGATTCTCACCATATTCACGTTTTCATTATCTTTATCTTTTCAAATGTATATTTTCATCAAGGCATGATAAGCAAAGTAAATGTCAGAATTTAACCCTTTATGACTTTTTTACTTAATTAAGTTTGTTCCAATTGCATGACGCCAATCAAGTAATATCTAAATATGTTGAATTGAAAATGTGAAAGGTGTTATCCAACTTGTACCCGGAAGTTCCTCTGGAATTATATGATTATAATAAAAGACCAAATACAAATTTTCATTATAATGGAATGTCGCAGTAGGCAAAATGAAATGGGGTATACAATCGACTCAGTTCCAATTCACTTGGAAATTATCGCAAGCAAATGGACTATCTTATCTCTAGACGTAAATTAGTACGAATCAAACTATACCTCACTAAGGAGCGCTACAATATAAAAAATTAAAAGAGCATTTGACACGAAAATGTAATAAGAGAACGAACTATCTTTTCTCTAGACAAAAAATAGCATGAACTACACCCTACCTCACCTAGAAGCACTACATATGAGAAACTTATGTACCATTCGTCGCGAAAACGTTACCAGTTAATTTATTGGATGAGTTGGAGAGGGTATACCTCAATTGTGCCAATCTTGAGCCCGCAAGCAAATTGGACCATGAGATTTGTAGATTTGAGTCGAACTCTAAAAGTTGCAGTGGCGTGTATAGAGTACTTTACCGTTCAATACTCCTTTTTTATTGGCCTTTTAGAATGCCGGAAACTATAGCTAAAAAAGAATTTTCATCATATTTGAAAATGCTGAACAAATTCCCTCGATTAAGAAACAAATAACATACTCAATTTAGAGGATTACTTGTTCATTATTTAGTCATGAAATCGGAATAAAGATGCTACGAGCATTAAAAATATTGAGCACTAAGCATAAAAATATTGAACAAAAGTTTTTAACAAATTACATATATTTATGAAGAAATTAACTCCTCACTAGGTGTTCCTTTTTAGGTCATGCCCGAAGATTAAGTGTCTATCTGGTGCCACTTTTCTTCTAATTTTAAGGAATTTTCAGACCGTCGTACTATAAAAGGAGGGGAGAAAAGCTGCATATGTTGACCATGAAATTCCAGTCACAATTGTTGAAAAAAACCTGCAACCATCATTTTTATAGCTAAATAACTTATATGCCCCCTATAACATTATGTTCAGTCTATCTCTAGAAGGGCTTTTTGGTAATTTAATTATAAAAAGATGGCCGTAGGCTTTTTTTTTTTTTTTTTTTCAACAATTTAGGCTGCCATTTCATAATCAGCCCATGCAACTTCTCCACTCATTCACTTAATGGTCCGAAATTTTATTAAAATCAAAAGAAAAGTGCCCCCATATAGTGGTGTCAATCGAGCTAAGCGGTTCGTACTGTTCACGCCCACGAACCGCTCGACCTCGTCAAAAAACGAGTCAAGCACTAGCTGAGCGGACTTTTTCATCAAAAGTCACCAAAAATGAAACATGAAAACCAGCCTTAACGACTATTTTTTATTCCCATGCACGCGCATGGTAAAAACTCATGCTCACGCATGAAAATGAGAAAATAGCCTCGGGTTTTCAAAAAACAATCCATGCGCACGCATGGCAACGCATGGGCAAAATAATTTTAGTCCAATTCCAGTCATCCTTTTGGGCCTAAATACATCTACTTCAAAGTCCCATTATTAATTTTGAACAATATATAACAATTTTTCATTTGTTCAAAATTATATAGATCACATATTCAAACTAACAACACGTATGCATAAGGTTTAGATATCTTTCAATTTAAATCTAACTATAGTGTAATTCTCACAAAGTATCTTCAAAATTCCAAGTAGTATGATAGTATTGAACCAATTATTTATTGTGATAATATTGAAGAAAATGCACACACAATGTCATGTGTTCACAAGTTCTTCAAGCTCGCTTATTGAAGCAGCATCACCTCGAAGTTCACATAAGTAAATTTCTTCCAAATCTTTTGTTATGTTTAGTCATACTGTTTATGAGTTGCTCGTCGAGCAGCTCGTGAAGGAGCCCACAAGCCGCTCGACTCGTGGGCTCATTAAATGAAAAAAATTTAAAAAAAATTAAAAACTGTGTAACCGGACGGTCACTGAATTTTTCAGTGACCGTTTGGTCACCTATATAAATTTTTTTTAATTTTCTTCTCCTATAAATACCCACCCATTACAACATTTTTTCCCATCAAACTTTCATTCTCTACTCTACTCTCTACAAATCATTATCAACAATATCATTCATTTATTCTATAATTCTTTTCTACATTTTTTTACATTATTATCTTAATTTTACAATTCATTTTATATACTACTATATAAGCTTAATTCATTTCTCAATTCTATATTTCTATATTCTATTTCAACACTTCAACATTCAGTTTCTACTATTCACGAATGGATTCACGAGCATTTGTTGAAAACTTGTTCGGTATGGAAGGCGAAACACCTGCCCAAAATCAATTTGGGAATGAATTTGCCGGTTTCAATGAATTACCAATTTCAACAAATATTGAAGATTTCGAAGTTCGTGAAGGTAGTCATCCAATTGATTTGGATGACGTTGATGTTGATCCTCCTAATGGTCCAATTGATTTGGAACAATATGAAAAACCTACATTAAATATTCTCGATGCAAGAGGAAAAAAATATGGGAAGAAGTAGGCAAAAATGTTGAGACCATTTCAAATTGGTTAACACTGGTCATATGGTCGATGGACTTCCAGAAATCAAAGCAGTATGTAAATACTACCAACTACGACAGCATGGCAAAAAGGTATTGGAACCACCCACTTCAACCGTCACTACAAAACATGTTCGGCCAAACATGTGCTTCTTCTCGCTGGTCAAACGCAACTACAGTTTGGTACTAGTAGCGTCGGTGCTATTACTACACCACTTTTTATGTGGATGTATTCGAGTAGGAAGCTCGAACGGGAATGGTGAAGTTTGTTGCAGCGGTGGAGTTGCCACGAGCAATAATGGACAACCAAACTATATTTAATGCTATTATGTTAATAATTTGAGAATATAAATGCGAGAGTAAAATTCTTTCTTTTACGTTTGACAATGCTTCCGTAAGTTAAGTTGTTATCGATAAATTGTATAGAATATTTCAACCCGATTTTAGTGATTATTTATTTCATATTCGATGTGTGTGCCATATTTTTAATTTAATTGTACAAGACAGTTTAAAACATGTTAAATACGAAATTAACCGAATTAGGAATGCACTTATATATATCACGATTACACCTTATAGAAAACAAGTATTTGAGAAATTTTGTAAACAAGCTGGGAATAAGCATACAAAAACATTTATTACTGACGTAGGTCATTGCTTGGATTACTAGCGAACCTACTCAGTTTATTAACCGCATACGCAATGTCAGGACGCGTACAGTTCATAATATACATAAGACTACTAATAATCTGAGAATATTTTAATTAATGTACAGGTTTACCTTTATTTTTGGCCAAATGTTGACTTAAGTTTACATGTGTTTTAACTGAACTTTCATCATATATATCAAATTTCATAAGAACAGTCTCAATGTAATGAGATTGTGATAAAACCAGTCCAATGGTTGTTTTAGAGATTTTAATTCCTAAAATTACATCTGCTACACCCATATCCTTCATGTCGAAATGTTTTGTTAACATTTTCTTAGTAGATATGATAATAGTATGGTTACTACCTATAATTAGCATATCATCCACATATATGCACACAAGGACAAATGCATTTCGCGTGTTTCTAATACAAACACATTTATCACACTCGTTAATCTTAAAACCATTTGATAGCATTGTTTTGTCAAATTTTTGGTGTCATTGTTTTGGTACTTGTTTTAACCCATACAAAGACTTAACGAGTCTACACAACTTTTTCTCCTGTCCAAGAGCTATAAACCCTTCAGGTTGTTCCATGTAGATTTCTTCTTCTAACTCACCATTCAAGAATGCTGTTTTAACGTCCATTTGGTGGATTTCAAGATTATGTAATGCAGCAACTGAAATAAGGACTCTAATAGAAGTAATCCTTGTAACTGGTGAGTAGATATCAAAGAAGTCAAGACTTTTTTTTTTTGTCTATAGCCTTTTGCTATCAACCGGGCATTATATTTATCAATAAACGAACAAAACAAACTGTAAAGAAAGAAATATTCATTAA